AACATTGTTTATATTTTAAGTCTTTGGAAACAGGTACATTCTTAGGACCCTTTTTGTGTAGAGAGAGCATAAGCCCACAGAAAGATGTTTCATGGGGTATCGGTCTGTCCCTACTTGACACTACAGTATGTTCCTAGCATAAGCCCCATTTGTAACAGAGATGCAGCAAAATGAAAGAAAAGATTGAGGGACAGGAAATGGAACTGAAACAGAGGGATAAAAACTAGAAAAAAACCCCACAGTGCTTAAGTAGGTCAAGAAGGTCAGTGACAGTATGGCTGATACAGCAACTGGAACAGAGCATGACATAGAAGTGGAAGAGAGCAAAAAGAGGAGATGTAAAGAATTCAGATGCAGACCATTTGGGCATTGCTGTGCATACAGCGTAACTATATTCTTGCTGCACTGAGATCTGGAAGCATTTTGCAGAGGGATAAAACCATCTGCTTTGGGATGGAGTACTCCCTGCTCTATTCCCGCTTGTAGGCTGCAAACACAGATACCCTGAGGAGAGTATTGGGTTGTGGGTACTTTAATTATAGTATGTTAAAATGAATAATATTTCTTTTCTTGTTTTCTTTTTTCCTTGAAGACAATAGCAGTTCATCCAATCTTACTGTTGTATCATCCGCACAATCTACAGCAACATCAATAGTAGGTACGTATCTGTTCATTTGTCCATTACTATGAACGTAGAAGCTAGCTCCAAACCTACCCCAGATCATACCAAATTCTAAAGAAATATCCACAAAAGTGGGTATTTGAGAGAGGTATTACCATTTTAGGGCTGGGAGGCAACATGTAAAACAACTCTGAAATGAAGCTATAGTGTTTTTCAAGTTTAGGTAGCATGCTTCATCAGTAGAAGCAATGACATTTGTAGTGCCATTGAAAAACAGGAATCAAAATAAAACTTCAAGGAAGAATTGAAAGAAGTTGGTCTTTTTAATGTTCATTCTTTATCTCTAAGCAAACTTCTTCCATTTTCATGGAGTAAAGATGAATAGGTTGTTGTGCAAATTGCATATCTGTTTAATGGTATTTCACAGTAAATAGATTTAGGATATAATGAAGTCCCGGGGGCTTGAGCTTCAAGAGTAAGACTCCATTTCGCTTTAGGTGAGACTCATGGCACCTTATACCATAGAAAATAGTCCTTATAGAGCTCATAGCACAAAACAGTGGAGTTCAACCGAGACACGAGTGGCAGATCTGGGACAGTCTGTCACAGGTACTTTTACATTGTTCTAGCACTACCATCTTTCTTTCACAACTTGGCAAAATAACTGTAGGTAAGAATGATTCCCCAAGGCAACAGTGTTGCAGTTGTGATGCTCCAACGTAAGCAAAGTGTTTACAAAACAAATCTTTGTACAAAGAAGAAATAGGTATATTAGATCAACTAGTAGAGTTTGAAAGCAGGTATTTAACCTGGGGCCCAAACAAACAGTTCATCCACTTGGATTTGCAGTGTTCCAACTGTTGGCTATGTCAATGTGAGATTATTAAAAAAGGAAACTAAAAAAAATATTTTCTGGAAAAACTTGCATAGGCATATTTTACCACGTCAGTAAAGACTGGATAAGAATTAATGTCATGCAGTTGTTCGGTCTGTGATGCACAGATAAAAAAGGTTGTATCTGAGAGAAGAGAAGAAAAGCTAGTTCCATGCATGAACTAAGTCCCCTTTTTGTGCTAAGAGCCATGTGAAAGCAGGGCAGAAATATTGTGCCTACCCTAAGATACTTTGTGTATTTGTGGAGTTTTATGCTGATCATAAGGTCCCAACTATGTCATTTCATTTCCAGCACAGCTCTCACTTTGTGTCTCAGTAGTCTCCAGGTAACCTCCGAGTTACCACACTCAGAAGTTGCTTATTATTCATTTAAGAATAAAATACTCACCAGGTTGCCAGGAAAAAAAAAAAAATCTCTGTAAAGACCTTTTGATAGCAAGGAAGTGGTGCAGTGTCTCATTCCATTGCCTGCAGTGTACCAGTTTAAGCATGTCTAACTTGGAAAGTGGAGAGATTTTTGTAATCCTCTTGTTGCCTTAGGGCCTTCCCCATGTGTAAAGCCATTGTTAACCACAGGTATTTCACCCACCCTGTGCTCCGATCCTTCCGCCCTCTGCTCTGACCCTGACTATGGGTCTTTTGCAGACGTCTGAGCTTTGCTATGTCTAGATAATAATAGTAAAAAGAGGCCCGAGCCCTTTACTGTTAGGCACAGTACAAACCTTTTTTTTTTTTTTGGAAGCTTTTCATGGCAGAAGCAAAAGTCTCTTTCATTCAATCAATTCAATCATTTTATGTGCAAAGGAGAGTATTTATTTTAGGAAGAGCATTCAATGATAATTACTTTGTATATTAGCACGGTGCTTATGCAGTTCGAGCTGTTGTGTTCATTCTTGTTGAGTGAGAACACTAAGAGAGTAGTGCATGCTGCTAAGAATTCTTATCTTAACGCTGTATATGTAATTTGATTGATGGATATAGCATAGCTATTTAATGTTTAAACACAGGTAGCAGACAAAGTGAAATACTTGTCTCTTTTAAAAATAAAGCATCATAAACCTGAACTGTATTACTGGCATGCATCCTTTTTATATAATAAAAATTAACTCAGGCAGTCTGGGTTTGTTTAGCGTGATGTTCAATGAAGCCCAGCTGGTCTTTTGGGGGAAAAGTAATTAGGGAAATAAAAGATAAAAGGACAGATGTTGCTAGCAAATATTCTTTCATCTTAACTCTGTTGGTAAAATGGTACGGGTAAGATTTTTCAAAGACACAGAAGAACAGATTGGTGCCCAAGTCATGTCAGCTTCCCAAATTCTCCAGCTGCCTCAGATAGCCTCCCACTGATGTTTTGAAATGACTGATGCTAAATACATCATGAAAGATAAGTCTGTAGGAGATTAACCAGATTTTACTCTTAAAGTTACATCACCAAGTGCTGTAATCTTGATAAAGTAAGAAAAAAGGATTGCTAGTAGGAAAGAGAGGGGCAAAAAAGTAATGTGCAAATTTGCTGAAATTCCTCATGATAGCTGCTTGGATATTTTTTGTGCTGACTCGGGTTTTCTGTGGGGTAATAAGTACCATCTTTGTGTAAAATCGTTTAATAATGTTATGCATGGAACAATTAGCCATTATATTGCTCAGAAACACAAGCCAGTTTGACACTCAGAAATCATGGCTCAACAAAAAAAAAACGACCACAGAAAACTGACTGATTGACACTTGCATTCAGATCTGTCTTCTTTTGTTATCTCTTGTATTAGGAATGCAGTTACCAGGTGTGGTTTCATGTCATGTAATTGTAGATGGTTTCCATATAGACATTTCCTTGCTTATTTTCTACTATGAGGAACCATTTGATATTTATAGATCATTGTGCCTTTGGGGAGTTTACCTGTCAGTATTAAAATGTGCCCTGAATTTTATCTGATGTATTTTACACATGCTTCATAGAGGAACTGAATTTCCTAATTGTAACAAGGTAAGCACACGTATATAGTACTCCAACTGTTCCATCTCAATGAATGCTCATTTCAAGGTGTTTCCTAGGATTATGGCACAATACAATTATAACATCAAAGAACAGGAAAATAAATAACAATTAGTATGGGGACTGTATTGGGCTGTTTCAGTAGTTTTTATGTTAAATGTCGCAGAGAAATGTTTTATAGGCCAATTCCTTTCTGAATGCTTACATTGTCATATTGTTTGGGGTTTTTAAGTTTTTGATGTTCACATCTGTACTTAAGTCTTAGCAAAGACACCATTCTGTTTTAAACCATACTTAAAGGAAGATGATTCTATAGAAGCATTTTAGATGCTATATAAAAAAAGCAGAAATTGAATATCAAGCTTACTGTGGAATTGAGATGAAACCACCTATTCTTCAGTTGTTCTAGTTTTATACAATTTCGAGAAAACATGGGTATAATTACACATTTGAATGTCCATAATGAAAAGCTTTTGTGGTGTTTAAAATGAACCCAGCTTGTGTGAGGTTATAGAAATAATACAGAAGTACACAGCTGCAAAGGGAGCTTTTTCTCCCTAAAATTCCTTCATACATAAAAGTGATTTGTCTCATATTGTCTGCTTAGAGAAATGTTAGTTGCATAACAGGCTCATGTTTCTTGTTAGTTCCTTCTTAGAAAAAACAAGTAATTATTCTTAAGATCATTCTAGGTGGCTGCCTTTTACTAAGGTTCTAAGGATTTTGCTGTAAATATCAATCTCTGTTATTCTTGAATTTTGCTTCATGGTATTTTTGTTCTGAACAGTTCATTACTGCTTTCTGAGGAGGGAAGGGGAAGTGTTAGGTAAAAGCAGAGTAAAAGTTAAAGACATTAGGTGTCAATTAAACTTGTGAAACAGCATTCAATCTTTGTTTTAACCTTGGCAAGACAGCTCGCTACCAAATAAATGATACGAGCCAGCAGATCTACTTTAGTCAAACTTCTATCACATATGGAAAACTTTTTAAACCTTCAGTTTAACATACATACAGAATTCTCTCTGGTAACTTTAATATAGATGCAGCCTTAGTAAATCCAGTATTTCATTCAAAAGCAAATTAAAGATTAAATCATTACTAAAATTGGGGGGAGTGGGAGGAGGGGAGCTGTTTTCATGCAAAATTAGTTCTTATCAGAAAAGCTTAGTTACCTGAAAAGTTGGGCACTTCAAATGGAGAGTTACTCTTGATCCAGAATTTTATCACATTTTAAAATACTATAAGTTAGGCATGATTCTATGGAAATGGATAGTCTTATCCAAAAAAAAATGGACCTTTCTAAAAGTTAGCACATATTATCCAGGTTTTCTTTACAGCCTTGCCTTTAAACCATTCCTGACCTTGAGCCCCAGAAATTAGAAATTAGGTCTTTCCAAAGGAGATGCATAGGGGAAGAGTCTGTATTCAAGCCTGGATATCCGTGCAGTGGCATTTTCATTGTTACTCTGTCGTTCTATTTGGGCATGATAAATGCTATCTTATTCAATGAGTATACAGTTTATTATTTTTATGTATTTTTCTGTATGATATCACAAATAAAAATTTCCCAGGTATGTCCGCCAGTACTACTCATCTGACCAGTACCAGTCAGCCCACCAACACCACTATGTCTGTCACCTTGACAACTCAGCCCACCAAAACCAGCCAGACAATGAGATCCACCACAGCTTCATCAGTCACATCATCACAACTCAATATTACAGTGGTGACCACTTCCAAGTTTTCTTTCACTTCTGTAACAGGTGAGTTCACATTTCAAGAAGCTCATAAAGGCTTGTATACATGTTGACATGTGTTGTACAATTGTAGAATTGTTAGTTCTACAGTAGTGTAACAAAGAAGGAAGATATTTGTGTGCTGAAAAATGAGAGTAAGGTGGGGTTTTATTATTAAGTTGGCTACAATAATGTTGCTCTGAGCACTCCACTTACTTAAATAAGGCTTTACTTAACCTGAGTGACCTGACATATTTAGGAGGAAAAAATAAAATGCGAGTGGTCTGAACCAGCAGCCACCAGCAAGGAGGTTAGCAATGTGAGGAGAAAGCCTGGCTTTTGAATACAACTAATGTATTTGTTCAGTTCTCCCTTCTACAGCTTACTTGAACTCATCTCTAATACTTCCTTTTTCACAGCTGACCTGTGGTTCAAAATAGGTCTACTGGCTTGGTAGAAAGACAGAGTTCTGTTAGGTACGTTTGTAGCAATGTAATGAATTTTATCCCTAATGGAGGATAGAGTGTGACTATGAACGAGTCACACTTCATGTAAAAGTTGTCAAACAGAGTTTGACAGTACCCTTTAATACAAAAACAATGATTGTAGAATTCAGTATTTCTTTGTGGTTAGCTGCTTGTTCACACCACTTCATGCTTACACTTCTAAACATATCAGGGTTGCTCACATGTCAGTGAAGCGTTATTGGGTAGGTGGAGCTGTCATCAGCAGAACTTTTAGTTGGCCACGTAACGCTACCTGTGGCAAGTACAAGTAGAGATGGGGACAGACTGGATGTTTTGGTGGGAGTTTGTAGCAGATAAAACTAGTTCTCACACGGAAACTGCTGTGGCTTATCTGAGGTCATGTTATCTATGTCAATATTTGTGTTGGGCTGCAGAGCTGATCTCACTTGGAGAGTGAGGGTACAATTCCATGAGACAAGGTAAAGCAATCCAACAGCTCATCACCACCAAAAGTATTTTACTCCCACCATGTAACTATGCTGACTGACTTGGTGGTTGTTGGACCCCTCTGCAGGCTGATTCAATATTCTCATCTAAAAGCAACTTCCTTTTCTGCTTGGGTTAATTTCAGGCCAGTTAATCTATGTTAAATTTGTCTAGTTTGGTCTTTAGATGATATGTCAATGGGGAGGGCAGATATAGAGGAGTCCCTCGAAACAAAATTTTGCAAGCTCTGTAAAAACTGCCTTTTGTTTTCTTCTTTTCAGCCACATCAAAATCTGAGGCTGTCGTAGCCAAAACCTCCAGATTTGATGTGGGCAGTTTCATAGGTGGCATCGTGCTGACACTTGGAGTCCTAGTTATTCTCTACATCGGATGCAAAACCTATCACTCTAAAAGAGGCATTCAGTACAGAACCATGTAAGTTCCCAAGGGATTATCCCTTGTCAATTTATTACTTTCTTGAGGGGAACAAGGACAAACAAAATAAGGAGAACGAACTCTAATACATCCATTTGTTTAATGTACATTGGATTTATATCATTAAGAGATTCAACTATGGTATTTTGTCTTTCACCACTTCAGCTATTCCTCATTATTATTATGCCTCTCTTCTGAGTGGGTTTTTTCTCTGGTCTATTATATAAAATAATTTTGGTTTTTTTAAAGGATCCTTGTCCTTTAGCTATTCCATGAATAGCTAATGTTTCCTTGAAAACATTTCCTTTAAATGTTTGCTGCGATTTGCAAGACTTCTTGTTCTTCCTGGCACTTTCTCCTAGACTCTGTTTGTCTATTCACTCTTTGCTGTTTTCCTCCCCCTTGCCTTTAATTTTTTTGTAGTAGCTCCATTTTCTATTACCTATATGACGTCTGGTTGGAACTCTATTACCATCACCTTTTATGTACTTTCAAGTCTAGTTTGAGCAGCCAGTTTTAAAGCCAGACATCTAATATTCCACATTCTTAAGCCACCACTGTTGAATTGATTCATTTATTTATTGTCACAGAAAACATTCAAAGGCAATATGGCCATTATTCACATTTGTAAAAACACAGTATTTGATTGTTGTCAATATATAAACTCAAACTTTTGTCCCACCTTGCAATATAGGCAGGCCGATTGGTTGATTTCTAATACTGAGTTTTCTGTGTTATCTTGTTCTCAGCTCCAGAAACCTGCCCATAAAATTGTATGCACTGAACCTGCTTTAAATACTTTTCACAAGTCCATGAAATGAGAAGTAGAATTCATTTAACCGAATACAGGCATCTGCATCTGAACTAGACCTTTCATATCATTCATATTACCCTAAAGTAGGGTAAATCTGTCAGATGAATCAGCCTATCCATGCATGTTTGTATTCACTTACTCTGAGGGCAGCTAAAAGTCTTAGATAAAGAAGTCTGTGCTGTGGATATTGAAAGGTATAGGCTGGATCCCACCTAAAGTCACTTGTTTACTCTGTGTACACTTTCAACCGTCTTTGAGCTGCAGGCTGCTGATACTTTCCCTGTGGAGTGTAGGTGCTGTACAGCAAATACAAGCCTATTGAGAGTAAGCTGGCTTTTCTTAGTTACCTTTTCAAGACCTTTTAGAAGTTGTCTGTGGGCTTCAGACAATCTGTAGACTACAAGTTGAAAAACACTGCTTTAAACAGATTCTCTACCACCAACAACTTCTAGGCAACTGGTCTCTCTCCTTTATGATACGAGATTGGGGGACAGGAGGTAGTAGGTCCAGTCTTGTCTTGGGTATGGTTCTTTGTGGAGGTACTCTTTTCCTCTCCTTTGCAGCATTCATTTCTGAGAGCACAGTACCAGTCAGACATCTATGATTTTGTCTTCATCTTGTATCTCACCCCTTTTGTAGTGAGTAGTTCAATCAAAATTGTACCATCTCACTTTCCATTTATACCCATCTTTACTCAGTTTTCTTCCAGGCTTCCAGACTTGCCTCCTTGTCCCACGTTTAGTTTAAGAACTGGGAATTCTTAAAACTAGGTTGCTTTTCTTTTTCCTGTTCAGTATCATCCATCTCAGTTGAGAAGGTTGTTTTAAGTGAGGTGATGTCATTAGACTTGTTGGGATGTTAGTGTTTAGGCCTTGTGCTTTTTTTCTATCTTGATTCCTGCTTGCTGGTCATGGAATTCAACCAGTCCCTGCTGCACATGTTTACCCACAGTAGCGTTTGAATGAATATTGTAGAATTCAGATCACCAGTATCTTTAAAACAAAGGAAACCTGTCACTGAGTTTGTAAACTGGCTTTGATTAGCTGTTACTACTGGATATAGGTAGGATAGATAGGATAAAAATGCCTGAGCAACAGCTGATCTAAAAATATTTCCTTGGATGGAATGTGAAAGCCAAAAAGTTAATAAGGCTAGTGAAGCTAGAGGAGTGTTGACAAAATGAAATTGTTCTGTTAACTTCAGGTTTGGCTCAGAGAGGACTGTAACTCCCAGATCAATGTGCCCTTAGCCCTTCCCAGCAAGATGGCCTCTGTTCACAAAATAACCTTCTTAGTAGCAGCTGGGTGGCTGTTTCTCATGTTGTCTCTTGCTTGTACTGCAGAACATTAATTACTGTGTTTCTATTACAGTGATGAACATGATGCCATCATTTAAAGAGACTTCAGGGAAGACAGTGTTGGAAACCCATCCTATCACAGTTGTCATAACGTACTTCTGAAAGAGTTCCTTTCATAAAGATGTTCACAGTCTCTAAACCTGTCTTGGGTGTGATCCTGCAAAATGTTGAGAACCTCTTTAAACATCCTGATTTTTTTGCATTGGCTTTCATAAGAACAAGAGGAGCTCAGCATTTTGTAGAGACAGTATTTTCTTTTTCCAGTATTTGTAACCAAATTTAAAGAAACACACATATTGAGTCAATTCAAGGTACACACACAAGTGTCTGAAATAGCTAATTACTAGCACAGTGGATAGCATCATTGCAATTCTAAGTAAGGTCAATTATTTCTCACATATGGTGTAAATCCATTGTGTTCCATAATGGATATAGTAGGTTAAATAGGATGCCTTTGAGACCAAGCATAGGTTTTGCAAGTAAAATTTTTTTTCCTAGTATTTTGTATGAAATTGTATTTATTTTGAAGTTTGATGTGAACTTTAGTTTAGAAATTTTGGATTTTGAACAATTCAGTTAATTTTTAGTAGGCTGTAAAGGGACATAGTTTGCTAACTGTATAGAAGGTGATAGAGTACTTTAAACTTCAGTCATTAGCTCGCCAGTGACCTGCAGAGACTTTCCTTAACAGGCTATACAATGAGACTAGCTGCAGGAAGCATGGACAGACTGGAGATACTCATCCACAACTCTTTTCTCTAAATGGATCCTTATAAGAAAACAGACTATGCAATCCATAGCTTCTTTTTTCTAGCATGTCCTAATGACGCATGTGCAACTGAAGATAAAATAAAAATGGAAAAAAGTAATTGCGCCATCATAAATATGATAAAATATGAAAATTGCTTCTAAAAACTGGCTTTTAAGTTGAATGTAGCAATCACTTCAACTCTTGGGTTTTATTATTATGAAGCTGCATGCAATGTTTTAGCAGCATTTGATAAGCATTGAAAGTTACATAGAGAAGTGGAAAATCTGTAAGTTAGCATTTTAGAAGAATATAATCTGCATTTTTACAACTATTTTCAAACTTGGTACTGCTGCATATGTGTACAGAGATCTGGTCAAAAGCCCATTGAAGGCAACAGGGCATGTCTCAGAAGGCCTTTAGATTAAGGCCCAAATACACTGGGGGTCCTGTGCAAGATGGCTGATGCTGCTTCCGTATCACTTCTGCATTTACACTGAGGTAAACCTGCTGACTTCAGTAGGTGGGCTCCTGATTTACGCTCATGTAAGGAAAATGAGAGCAAGGATCAAGAAACACAGGCCTGCATCTCCTTATGTCACTGAATAATCGCTCAGCCCTGCTCAGGCTCCACTTCTAGGCCTCTCCCTGGTGAAGAGGGGGGTTGGTGTGGTGGGACTTGACTGTCCTGGTTACTGGTGGCACTAGTCCATCACAGACGGGCAGCGATGTCAGCAGAGGAAGGTCACAACGGGAACTGCATACAGGTCTGTCAGGGGGCTGGGATACAGCACATCAGGGGAAGTAAGACTACAGCTCTGGCACAGGTTAATTTTTTTTGTTGAGCAATAGTTTATTCTGACATGCAGTGTTAAAGTGGCCATATGGATGGTTTTTCCCTTTTTCACATGGAGTAGTAAAACTGTTGTGTCCAAGGCACAGCTGACTCCAGCAAACCATGGCTAGTAGTCTTAATAGCACCATCCATGCACCTGAAATGGGGGTAGCAGGGCTGTTTCATTTTTCACTGAGATTGAGGTACAGGGGGAAGAGTGATTTGAAGTAACTTTTGTGATTTTTCTTAATTGGATTTTTTGGTGGAAAACTTCTAGTTTGGACTTGAAGAGTTTGGAAACAATTCTTCCCTAGAGCTGCAATTCCTTACTTTGTAGAAATTAAGACAATTAAATGCAACTCGATTACTGGGATTCTCTCACCTGTGTTGTACAGATGAATAAATAAAATTAAAACTTTGGAGTTACTATACCAATTTCAGTTGGATTTTTATTTTATTAGATGGTTTTATAATTCTCTCAACCTTTTCCACAGTCATAACCATTGAATAAAAAGGTGATCACTGTATATACTTTTAAATGCTAGAATACCAGACCTAGTGCATTTTTGCCCAGCTCAATCATTTGTAATGTATTTAGTAATCTCATTACTACAATAAAGCAAAATTATGCAGTCTTAGTGCAAATATAAAACCTGACATCCTTTCAGGTGTTTGGATACTAGACAAAGTGAGGTGCAATTGATGAATTTTACCTTTAACTTTACATTTGCTTTCCAGAACTAAGTGAAAACCCACCTTTAAGTTACACATGTATAAAGTGGAATGAACAGGACAGGTTTTCAGTGTATCGTAGCACCAGTAAGTACGTATTTAGGCCTCAGTCCTGGACGTTGCTCTACAGCATTGGAACAAGCAGTAGACCTGAATTTAGCTATGCTCTACACATATAGAGGGGTTGACTGTATTAAATAACTGAAATAATAGTTTAGCTTTCAAAAATCCTGATTATGTTAACTAACATTGGCACTTAGTTTCTGTAAGGAAAGAGCATTTGAAAGGGTTTGCCGCAGGAGTCTACCACATTTTAGACCAATATAAGGTATAAAGCTGAAGTAGGAGCAAAAGACAGAAAAAGGTCTTTTGTCTCATAGACTGAAGTCTAGCACTATCCCAGGCAACTAGGGAATAGAATATAAAATAGCATAGTTGGAAGGGACCTACAACGATCATTTAGTCCAAGTGCCTGACCACTTTAGGGCTGGCTAAAAGTTAAAGCATGTTACTAAGGGCATTGTCCAAATGCCTCTTAAACACTGCCAGGCTTGGGGCATTGACTACCTCTCTAGGAAGCCTGGTCCAGTGTTTAACCACCCTCTCTGTAAAGAAATGTTTCCTAAATGTAATCCCTTCCTCATGGAAGTTTCTTTCGACTCACTTCTCTGGTGATTAGTTATTCTAAATTCAATTACAAGTTTATGATCTGTTTATGTTCATTTTATGCAACAAATTTTTAGCATAAATACCTCCTCCCCTTCTCTAGGTATCCTTATGCTATAGTCAGTCTTTTAGCTGTTCCTTAACTGAGTCTATTAATATTGTGAAGATTATTCAGCTGTTTATAGTTCATCCTCTCAACAGGACTGCATAACTGTTTTCTTACTAGTACTGATGACTGAGCCACGCAGTTCATGGTTCTGTCTTGATTAGGAACCCCTCTGGTGACACATCACAGAACTGCATTTACAGCATTCAATTGATCATTACAGCTCTTTCACACAATCCCTATACTCATTTTTAATCCTTAAAATTCATGGTTTTGTGCTCATATTAAAATTTATTTTACTTATTACTACAGGCTTGGGAGGCCATCCAATGGCTACAGAACATAGCCACCTTAGGTCAGATATCATGAATGTTACTTTTGCCCTTCAAACACATCAAGATCTATCATATGACTAAATCTCAGGACTGCAGCCTTCCTCCCACAGGTCTTTCCTTTTTATGCAACACTCCTTTAGCCTGTGTTCTAGTACCAAATCGCAGCCCTTCCAGCTTGTTTTGATGGGGCCCTGCATCAAAGGTTGCAAAGCAGTCCAGAAATACTGCAGTGCTATATTTGGGTTTTTATTAAAAAAAAAAAATTAAAGCAAGATCATGTTACTGTGATACTATTCAGTAACTTCAAAATTATCCCTTTGTAAATCTGCTTTCATACCTTTCCTTTTTGCTCACCAACTGTTAAAGCGCTTACATACTCATGCCATTCTTTATTTTTGCCTTGAAGACATACATAGCATTCTTAACATGCTTTATTGAAAAAGATATAAGCAACAAAATGACAATATTGCTGAAAGCAAAGTGGAACAGCATTAGAGACTGAAAATTGCCTAGATAACTCAAGAGTTTAAGAATTTAGCTGAGATACGGAAGCAGATAGAATGAGAATGGACCTGTGCAGAATGTATACACATTTTCTAGATGACACTGAAGGAGTCCTGACTGATGGATGACTGAGATAGGAGTCTTAAAATTTAAAACAGGAAAGTTAAATGAATTTAAGAATCTGCATTTGACTGTTCTCACAAACAGCACAGAGACGGGGATTGCCAATTCCTGGTGTTGATCCTGCAGTGTCTAAGCTTTAGCTTGCATTAGAATTTAGTGTTTGCTTCACTATAAAAACACTACTTTGAAGACTGGATCAATGATTAATTTCATCCTTCAGTGTCAGGTCATCCCTATACTTCAAAACATCCCATTCAGTAACTCTGAAAATTGAAGAATTAAAGAGCCACTAAGTTCTGGAGGCTTTTAAGTGTCCTTTTAGAAGACCAAGAGGAAATATATTCTCACTCTGATACTCAAAATTTTGAGTTTGTCTATTGTTTGTTCTGACCTTCTCCACATCAAATTTAAAGCAGTTTGGAAACCAAGGTGTTGTACCTGGCCAGCACTGAGGTGATGGGTGCTTCTAAAGTGTTAGAAGAAAGACTATGTAACTCCCTTTCCTTGACAGGGTTCATAAAGAAAAGCAACGAATGGGGTGTTTTCTTCTTTTTATTGTTTCATATATCACTTACTTAATCTTTTCTAAAGACTTTATTCTTCCCTTGGAACTGAAGCTATCTTCCATTGGGCAAATCACAACCCTAATATCCTATACTCCGTAATACCGAGTCTTTCACTTCTCTATCATCTGCCAAAATAATACAGCATCAGTAAGTCAAGCTATACAGATCCAAAAGGAAGAGATTTTTTTCTGACCAAGTCTAACACGTGACCTCTAACACATGGGCTTAGAAACCTTTGGCAAGTTCTCTAGCTTTTCCCTAAAAAAATTTCACCAGGCCAAAACTAAGCGTGAAGGCCACTGCTAGAACATTCCTTATCGTGCGAACAATGTTCCAGTGTATTTTGATCTCTTCAAAGAGAAAAAAAAAAAAAGTAACTCACCTGTCTCTTTTTTGAAAATAGCACAGCAGGATCTGCTGTTTGGAGTTCTGCTCTTCCTGGCGCAGGACGTATGCAATACCCCAGACTCTCAGGCTTTAAGGGTCCCATGCCAGCAGCCATCAGTGAGGAAGCTGGGCTGGGGCATCAGTAACGGTTGTGATCACAGGCTCAATTAAAAACAGAAACAAAGGACTGGTAATTTAGTATTGTCTCAGGAAGTTTACTCCCTGCACTAGTAACCTCCGGAGCAAGAGTGACAACAATTGCGTGTTAAATAGTTCAACAGAACAGAGAATGCCTTTTCGTGTCCAGAATACATCTCCTGCCTGAATTGACGTACCTGAGGTGGGTCACTTTAGGAATAACTAACAAACAGCAAGAAAACTGAATTTGCAAGTTCAGTCCACCTGCAACATTAAACATGATACTGCATACCCCAGCCTCACTACACTACAATTGCCACAATGCAGAATTAAAGGCAGATGAATACACTGTTTACAATTATTTCATGTGTTTCTCTTCTTCTGATGTCTTGTGAGGAATATAGCAAAGAACCAAGTTCTGAGAGTGTGGCACTATGGAGTTACTAAACAACCACTAACTCTCTCAGTCACAAGAAGGAGTAATACAAAGATTTTTCTTTTATATCATGCTAATGGACTTCCTAGATATTTCATATATGGCCATTCGTTTCAGCATATAAGAGCAGTACTCTAATGACTGGTGGCAGGCTGATCACTGGGGATGCCAGGACTGCATGTTGTGCCCAATTTGAAGAGCACTGGGCTTCCTAGTCAATGCTCAAAAGCAAACAGAAGAGAAAGAGATGCATTCAGTTAAAAAAAAAAAAAAACACACAGACAAAAAAAAACCTGCTCAACAACTACAATAAAGCTTCATGGCACTTGTTTCACAAAACATACAGCTGCCACTTGGGAAGCCACTGTATCTTACAGTATCTCAAACCAGTATCAGAAACTGCAACTGCTCCAGGATAGATCCTTTGCAGGTATGATAAGCTTCATTCAAGTAAAGAAATTGCTGATTTACAGAAGCTGGGAATATTGCCTTCTATCTTCATCTGACAGCAAGTCTGACCACTGAACTCCAATGATACCAAAGTTCCCACCCTCACAGCCCCTAAGCCATGCAAAAACACTCTGCCAGCTCAAGACAAGCTGTGGACCTGGAACACTGATGTCTGAGAACTTGAGCTGCTTGATCAGCAGAGCTGCACAGGAAGCTGGGGCAGGGGGGGCTGTTTATCGCTGTTTAACCCAGTCAAAGCTCCGGAAAATGCTTTCAAAGGAGGAAGTGGAGACAGAACAAAGTGTGAACACGGTCAGCTGGTTCACAAGTAACAGAAGTCACTTGATCCTCTCCAAACAACACTGCAGACAGTCTTCTCCATGGTTTAATATTTTGCTAAGGTTCTGTTTGCAGTGTGCTACAGGCAATTAGTTTTATTACAGCTTTCTTGGAATAGTACTGAGGAGAGCGCAACTGCTCACATGTACAGCATTATAGATCAGGGCAACCACAGTCATTATAGTGGGGAGTAGTGGAAAGCCATAACCTAGATTAGCCTTCCTGCCAAAACTAGGTCAAAGAGTTTTACCTAGTAGTTTCTAGATGAATTTCTTCCACTTCTCAGGAAGCGTTTCAGCTGCCTACATGCAGGCAGCCAGTGCTGCCTGAAGTTGCCCAGAACATTCAAAACACTCACTAACCAGGGCTGACAGGTATGTTGCAGGTCCCGAGATACGCTCCAGCATCACAAATGACACTGAACACCTGAATTGCTCAGGTTTTAAAGCCCTGTATATCTTGTCATCTGATCTATATGTAGTAACTGCAACGTTTGGAAAAACTCTAAGCCCGTATGTTTCTAAAGAAAAATGTATTGCTTAAAAAGTCTTCCTGCTACTGTGTTTTTCCCTATCCTCTTCCCTGTTCAGATATAGGGCTTACATACTAACAATTCCACACTCTTCAGGTGAGCCTGACCTCCCCAGCTCCCCCTGCAGACTCATCTTAATCTGTAGAAAGTATAGTTGGTTCTATGACTAATTTCCGGATCTGAACATCAAATCTCAAGTCACGCGCTTTATGCCTTAACAAGCTTTCATAAACTTTTTAAGTTGCTACACAAGACAACAGAGCCTTTAGAATCATCTCAAAACCAGAAAAGCAAAAGTATGTTAATCAAAACTGTTTAAAACGACATGCTAGGTTTGAAACATTTACATTTTTAACATCAAAATTAAAGGGCAGATATGTACATGTACTAAAGTTGGACAAAACTCTGCATTTAAAAGAATTGCAGCAAGCCAACCTACAGTTAAAGAATCCTATGTACTGCAAGGAATGTATACCAAAGCATTAAAACAATTCTAGTGCCAGCTAATGCACAGCATGAAACAGTGTTGCAGAAATTATGGAAAAATGAATGAAACCAAAGATCAGTGTTGCCGAGTTCTCACTAAAAATGTTTAAAGACAAACCAGGCCAGATTCTTACACCCCTCCCCTAACCGCCCAGACAGCAAAGCAAGACTTCTTCAAAATTAGTATCTCCAGTATTATTTTGAAAGGGACTCTAGCCCAGGAGGTACTGCTTGGAGACAGAGGGGAAAGACAAACAGACGATAACTAGAATGTATCTGTACCTTCCTTCGCACAATTGTCCTCACTAAATTTAGTGATCAGTACTACTGATGAAAACATCCTGAATCTGCTAAAGAATCAGCCACAATCACATAATTAACAAATAAAAGTACATGTTTTGGCCCTTTTTAGCTAGCCAAAACTTTGATTCAATGCTGAAGCTGCAATTATGCTAGAAATATAACATTCTGTTAACTCCACACACAGTCTATATTCCAAACTCAGTGGACAGATTTCCCAAGGTGGCAGGTGATTATAGGACGAGACCCAGAGGTTTCTTTCAGACTTAGAGGGGGGCTTTTATTAAATTACAACTCAGATGTACAACAGGAAAGATGTATACAAATGCCAAACATACAACAACTGTAAGTATGAATGGAAATTTATTTGCTAGTGACAAACATTTCCCCCACTTAATACAAACCTTGCTCTAAACACTAGGCAACCATTACACAAGGGTAAGTCATTAATGAGTCACAAGTTACACAGCCCGCACAAGTTCTTTTTAATGTATACACTTTACTACTTGCATACATATGGGGTGCTCTCTTTTTAGATGAGGTAACACATGTATAGCTAAGAGCCATATATGAAGTGATGAAAGCCAGTTACATGCACACAACTTGCAAACATTGGCATCCTGAAACTTCAGGAAATGGTATTTTCATCTCACACTACAGAGCGCAAGACACCAAAATACTGTTAAAAACATCTTATTGCTGGCAGGTCCGAAGATTGAGAGGTCCACACTTGGGCATTAAGATAGGTCTGCAGAAGACTGACTTCACAATTACAGCCAGACAAACTGACATCACTACTGCAGGATCTGATGCCATTATCCTGGCAGTGTTCTTCTGCCACTGTTTTACATGAAATCCTTGAGAAATATCTATGAACACTTTCCCCCTGTAGGCACCTACTATGCAAGTCTAGGGATACAAAGCAGAAAATGGTAAATTAAGAGTCAACCAGTAAGGAAGTAAAAGTCCCTGGACCACCAGCTTACAAAACAAGACACAAGACTTCAGAGTGGGCTGGAAGATCCTACTATTTAATTGCACAATCACTATAAAGCTCCAAACGCAGAAAAGCAGCTTTTACTTTTTAATCCCTAGTATAAAGGCTATATTGCTGTACAGCTACCCTCTGCCTCACCTCTAAGGTCATGAGGACCATTCCTGGCCAGGATTTCTATCCTTTGAAAAAATCAAGACAGAAGGAAGTACCAGATGCTGTTAGGGGTTTGGGGGGGGGGGTGGGGGGGGGGGGTGGTTGTTTTTAAATAAGGATAAAAATCTGAACCCCCTACTTTACCAGAGGGAATCACCAAGCAGCATAGCAGCTCACTTCCCTGTTCAAAAATGAATTAAAGACACACAGAATTAAGTTTTCTTGAACTTTTGTGGGCAAACAAACCCTAAACTTTTGTCGGGAAAAGACAGCATTCTAATCGCTGCAGTCTACAGAGAAAAGCCAACAATGGGAACAGAGTAAACAAGCACTCATTTGAGGAGTAGAAATACTTTAATTCAGTCTTCATATAAACTATTAATACACATTACACAAGTATCTAGATATAAACAAAACTTTTTTTCAAAAGTCCTGCTGTTCCTGCAACAGTTAGCTTCTTTCCTCCTCAAGTCCACAAGAAAGCCAAAACAGAACCAAAACAGTAGCTGAAGTTAATTAATATTAATTACTAATAAACAGCAATCTTAATGTCTTTTCTCACATCCACATGGAGGAAACTCATCAGAAGAGTTATGCCAAGCACCATTTTAGGAACTCAACCAGAAAGCTTTTTATTCAAACTGACACAAGGGCATACTAGTGAAACTGCTTTCCTTACTCGGAAAGGAAAGCTACAAAAACTTCACTTTAGTATTGAGTTAGTTTTATGAACAGAAATAGTCTTTGGCAAGGAAGACCTAGTATGTTCATAATGATGTTTACTATTACACAACAGTGTTAGGTAGTTGATTAATCATCTTCTGTACCACAATTTTCCATTCTTAAGACACTGCTGGCTTAAGCTTCAGCAGTTGGAGGATGAAGGAACAAAGACATTTTGCAAGTTTCCCTCTTTACGAAAGAAATGTACGAACTGTACCCTTTATTGTCCCCCTGCAAATAGGGCATTTTCTAAGGGACGGTGCACATTCTTTGCATACCACTAAGTGACCGCATGGAATAAAAACAATAGAAACTTCTTTGTCCATGCAAACTTTACATGTTCTTTCCTCTTGCAATCTTCTTAGTTGTTCTTCCATAGGTAAACCTGGAAAAAATTATTTAACTTTTTAAGAAGCCTGAATATATGTGCATTCTAATTAGAATATAGCTGTGTTCCACTTCACCCTTTATCTCCCCATCTGTATCCACTAAATATAGATGGCAGTGAGAGAATAAGTACATTTTCCAGAGCTCAGAAAGTGGCATGCAAGGAACTAGTCTACTTTCCACTTCTGTCAGACAACAAACAGCTCAGGGATTGGAGGCCAACTGTAGTTCTTGAGACCAACCAATGCTTACGTTTTAGCAAATGCTGTACTTTTCTTGCTTGGATATTAGAAGCACAGAGCACAGACTGGTGGAACTGAGCTATATTCAGGCGTCTATACTTTTCTGCAGTCTATTAACATATTAAACTATAGGAGTAAGAACCAAGAAAACTCAATCCCATGTCTGACAAGTTTTTATCTACCCAGCTGTTGGTCAAGCTAGATCTTAGGACACCTATAACTCACTTTGGAAAAGTAGAGATAATGATACCTGCTGTGAAATGCTAACTGACTATTCACTGTCCGGACTTTACCAAATGCCTGAATAAGAGCTTATACCAGGATCAAGTCCAGCACATGCTTGAATTGTCGAGCTCCAGAAAGCTCTACCTCCTTAGGTGCAAAAGCACATGTAAGGCACAGGATATAGCTTACAGCAGATAGACTTGCTTGCAAGTCTGCACATGCACTTAACTTTTTCAGGTGTCCTCTTACCAAATCAAAATTAGGGAGAGGGTAAACCATAAAACCTATTTCTTAACCAAAGCAATTTTCCTTTTTATGATGTTAGCTATTTGTCCCACAATACCCTTTAAAGTAAGAAGGTAGAGCTTAGAGTTCAAGTACCTGAAACATCTTCAGTGGGAACATACTTCATGTTCTTCTCCACTAAAATAAGAGGAAAAAAAATGCTAGTCATTTGACTAATCTATATTCAAATAGCATCTGCATCTGTTTTTTTTTAATCTTTAGGTTGCTATGACAGCACTGGTTAGATTTCTGTAAACTTACATTCTTTAAAAAAAAAAAAAAAGACAGACATACCAAATAAATCTTTGTACAGTACAGGGTCACAATCTCGTAGACAGTTTTTAAATATGCTGGCTGCTTCATTTCCTTTCACTAAAACTGTATCTATCAGTTCCCTTGCTTGCAATTGTGTCTGAGTCTTCTGCTTAATAACATCATGCTCAAGTTCCGTAATCACTTTAGCTGATAATAAACTCCCGAGGATTGGAAGTACGCATGTTAAACGTTGGAATAAAGCCATTCGATTCTTCCGTATTAAGGACAAATCATCTGGAATGCAAAGGGGATTAGAGGTTTGTTAGGAATACACTACTCCAAGTTGCATTTCTGCTTAACAGTAATTGATACATTCTTTAAACTCTACTTGAAATGTGTGCTTACTACTCATCATTAATAAAGACCTCAGTAAGTTTTAGTGGTATTCACATAGAGACTTAAGAAAACCACATACAAGCAAGCTTCTGAGCTGAAGCCTTTTCACCAATGAACCCTCCTGCTCCCATCTCTAGGTTAAATTATCTGAGGGGATCTCATCTAACTTCACACTAGCAAGACTTACATTCTCTGCAGAACTGCAAAGAAAAAACAACGCCTCTGCATAACACCAACACTAACTCATTGACAACCAACAGGTTAACTTTAGTCAGTGGCAGTCAAAATCATGTCTGAGATGTAGATAGAATCAAGGTTTTCTAAGAGGTGTCCAACAGAATTATGTGCAAGAAAACCAGAAGCCCAGCACAACCAGACTTGGGAGATTTTTGTTTTTTTAAAATAGTCTATCACAAACGACAACAACAAAAGAATCATCTGCATTTAAGATTTAATGGCTGAATCCATCTATGCTTTTTTGATAGAACATGCAAGTAGGGAAGAAGCAGTCTTAATTCAATTTATGATTGAGAAGTTTCATTACTGCTTCACAAACTCAAAAAGTAGGATTTTTTTAGGCTTCAAAACTTTTATGGTATTAAAACAGTAGGGAATGTTAAAGACACATCAAATAAACACTGTTAAATAGCTGACCTACATGGTTGAGTCAGACACAGAAAAGCAGACCTTTGGCCATCTTACGGAATCTAAATTTGTAAGAGTTTATGGCTTCTTCTAGGTGGTGGATATGGTGGCTCACTGATTCAAGTAGCTTAAAGAGCAGGCAAATTTGGAAAAAAAAAAAATAGTAGAATGTGCCAAGTAAAGTATTTTGGTTCCATTTATTTTATTAACAGCAATATAAAGGCACACAAATTAAAAAATATGGCTTTGTTCCTGTGGAGAGAATCAGGCGATTCTGAACTCTTGGCACCTGTATAAAACATCCTCCTTGAAAGGGAATGAAACAATTCCCAGACTTCTAGTTCCATACAGATACCCTGACAATGCTTTTTACAGAAGCTGATCCTAATAGCAATTAAATTAAATCACTTGGTGAATAAAAACAATTATAAAAGCTATACATAACACAAACCAATTCTGTTTTCACTTTTATTCATGCCTTACACGTACCTGATGCCACTTCTTCAAACTGTCTCTCTTTCTCTTCTTCCCTCTTCTCATCTTCAGCAGTGAGCAGATCAGACACAAGATCATTAACAGTCTTGTAGTTTTCTCCAGTGGCCAAGATTTTACTTTGCACTGTTTGCTTTATTAGCCTTCTACTGAATCCCATCTCCAAGGCAGCTTTAACCACAGGCGTGTTCATCATGATTGCATCTTCTGAATGACTCTCTCCAGGTTCAAAATGAATAACTAATCAAAGAAGAAAATCACCGTGTATAATATAAAGAATAAATAACCTATACAACCCAGAAGTCAGACATATTGACATTACCTACACATATGCATATATACATGAATACCTAGCATTAAAAAGTTTCAATGTTTAAAAAAAGTCTATTTAAGTAGTTAGTTTTAAAAATGGAAGCCAGTCACTTAGATTCAATTGGATTGAATCCATGATAAACTTCAACCCATGTCAGGCCTTCACTAAAATCTACGATAATCCAGAGAAACCACAGAGAATTCCATTGTGTCTTAGCAGCTTTTTTATGTTTCTAACTTCAGCCTTGAAAAATGTCGGGGGGGTGGGGGGGACAGGAATCAAATTCAGAGTTTATAGTACAAACAATTGCTCTATTCCAGCTCTTGATCGGTATTTTCCATTCAACTTCCTAAGCACCAGGCATGTGGGATCCTGACTCATTGTCCTCAAACAGCAGGGATTATGATAGCATAACCCACTCACCCTCTGGGAGGAGTTTATTTCCACCATAACTAGAGTCCAACTCAGAAAGACTTCCCTTTATCTGCTTGTCCTACCCTCTCCTTGACCACTGCTGCTCAACTCAGGGCATTTACCTAGCTATGTGCCTAAAAATGGAGTTGCATAATTGCATAGTCATGACACCCTCTAGCAACTGTTCCACCAAGTTCAATACCATAGGTCAATTTAACAAATGCCAAATTGACTTGTTTTGTTTAACCCAACCATGAAACTAAAAACCACAAATACAGTGGATGCCAAGCATTCAAAACCAAAAATCTTAATATGAGCTTAGTATGAAAATAAGGAAAATGAAAGACAAGTTCTCTTAAAGGTGCTTCCTTGAAGTTTGTCTATGTATCATTGAAGCTACCTAACTTTTATCATTCATTAAAAACCCCTTATAATTTTGTTGTTTCCAAGAAAATCTAAGAATTTTTAAGCAAGTTAGCTTTGAATAGCCAATCATTAAGTTTGCAAAGTGCTGAGGAAGTTTAAAAATATAATTTAATATACATACTTGCGGGATCAATGTTTTCATCTACAGGCGTATCAGAGGTTGACAAGAGCTGTGGAACACAACAGAACTACATTAGTATCAAAGTACTGTTTTTCCCCCCACATACCCTTCTAACATATTCTTCTCTCATCAACCATGCTAAGCTTTTTACCTGAATGGTACCCGTTAAGTATTTTAGATGTGGTTGCACAAGTCTGCAAATTTGTGCAACTATACAAGTAATATAAAGTTAGTGCTGACCACTTCCATGAAGAGAAGCTTGGCTTACTCTTGCCAGAAGCATTATAGATAGAAATAATTCAGGTTGTCCATGACTCATTTCCGAAATAACAATTACTGATCTGCATTATTCACTGAAACGTAATCAGAATTTCCCTCTCCTGACACAAAGGAGCTCACTGCCTCATAACACTTTCCATAAGTAATCTGTACAGGTTAAACTCTACTAGTCCATGTCCGTTAGCCATGGTTCAGCACTGGTTTCGTTTTCGTGCTCATGAAAAGCATTTATGTTAGAAACCTAGTAGAAATATATGCACAAATGAGGCAGAAGGATGGATCAAACTCCCAAAAAGAACACGGCACTCTTCAGCAAGGGAAAAATCAAAGTTACAGAACAGTAAAGTTTACCTGTTCAAGAAGATGGGGGAACCTGGCCTGAATTTGACTTACAAACTCCCCTCCTTTTACACGGAGCAGATACTCACACCTGAAACATTGACAAAAGTGTAATGAATTATACTTTCCACTTGCCAAAGGAAGAAAAAAATATACAGAAAAATAAAACAGTTTACACAGCATAACTTAAGTACATGTTTCTCTTCTAAAGAGTTCTCTTAATTGGAAGCCTGATATAGCCTAGTGTCTGGTGACACTTTGATAAAGCTTTTCCATGATGTTCAGCAGTCAGTAGGTTTAGGTATATAAATGCAGCAGCTTTACATTCTGCTACCGCTTCTTATCAAAATGGCACGTCATGAGAAATGATACCGTGTCAGTGTCACTACAAAGTGCAGTGATAAACTGTTTCTATCTCGCATCTCACCATTCTTATCTCCTACTCAAATCATTCAGAAGAAGTTAAAAAAATTTAACACCACTATCAAAGCCAGATCTGCTTCACTAATGCAGAGTTACATCTCTTAAGTACATTTACTGAGAGGCATCACACAGAAGGAAACAAAGGTGTCAGTTAACTCTACATACATCGTGTAGTCCAGCAGTAGCTGGTAAACTGCCCATGAAAGACTAGCCTGAGATCTACAACGTGAAGAATTATTATTAGCTTTCCTAAAATTAAGTGCAGCTATTTCTGTCATTAACGTAGGTGGAGATTTCCACAGGCACAGATAGCAATTATGTATGCAATTGCCATTTAATTACGGGGGACGTTTTAAAAACTTATTGTCATTTTTCCAACAGAGACATGTTAAACAACTGCTGAAGCCTTCTTCACAAGCTTTTCCACACCTAAGAAACTAAACCACACCTGCTGAAAAACTGGTTCAATAACATTTAGTGTGGGCACAGAACTAGACTAAAGGAGTTAGATATTCCTTCTACTTCATTTCTCAGCAGCTTTTGTTCTCCTCAGTCTGCTTTTTGACTGCTTCTCTTAGCTAAGTATGCCCATTAACAATGCAGCCTCACTTGCTAATAGTGATTTGGGGATGCACACAGCTTTTAATTATGAAGTGGAAAGCATTAACCATCATGCTTAATGAAGAAATGCTCTAATTAACTATTAAGTGCAGTACATATCTGCCAAAATTAAAAGTAGAAAGGATGTGAATAAATTATGATAAAGATTTTGCAAGTTACCTTGGAAACCACTTTGCATGCTCAATCCATGGATCATCTCCAGATTCCCAGCACCTTAACCCACCATCACAGCAAAAACACTTGACATCATCATTGCGGCCTTTAAAAAAAAAAAGGCAAAATATATCTAGCAAACATTCACAAAATTTGAAGTAAAAGCTGACATAGTGGTACGAATAAAACCAGAGACGTCAATTTTTCTTACCTACATAGTAAAAGCCAGCATCTGCAAGCTGTTCAGGCTGAACTGGAATTCTAGTTGGCCAATTTATGAATGTTTTAACACGTGCTTCATGGGTTTGCATGCTCACATTTGAAACATTGAAACTTGGCTGGTCTCGGGTAAGGTTTTCCACAAAAGGGCATTTAGGAAAGTGTCTCCGATGCTCTGACATAGCATTATCTTTTGGTTCCCAGTTACTCAGTTGACCACCACAGGTGAAACAAGCAACTTTGTCTGCTGTCCCCAAGTAATAAAGCCCAGCCTTTGCCAGATCAGTGGGCGAGAGAAACGTCAGTGGCCATGAGTGAAAAGTGCGTAGTCTAGCATCTTCTGTACTCATTGAAGGATTGTGAAGTTTAGGTCTCAAGAATGAAAGGTCTTCAACTGCCCTCGTAGTTATTGGGTCTTGAGGAAAACTGCAAAAAGAGCCACTGAAATATCCAACTTGTTCTAAACTTGGAGAAAGTGTTATGGAATGTAGAGATGGTGAGAGACTGTTTGTGACCAGAGGCGAAAAGGCAGAACGAGAGGACAGTCCCAGGTTGTTAACCGAAAGCATGTTTTGAACAAAACTGCAGCTAGGATACAGCTGTTTATGTTTTTCCATAGCATTATCTCCTGGTTGCCAGTTATCCAATGTTAAGCCACAACTGAAGCACTTAACTTTATCTTGCACGCCAGTGTAATAAAACCCAGCCCGGGCAAGACTCCGTTCTGACAGTGGCACGTTAACAGGGAAGGTAGAAAACGTCGACATTCTGTAGAGTTCACAGGACAAGTCATACTTCAGTTCACCGCACAAAGCACTCTGCTTCATGATGCTAGCCAAGAAAGGGCTATTTTCCATTATGTTCATAATGAACTATTTTTGGAAGAATGGGACAAGTCTTCCTCTGGGAGGTAGTTGTGTGCATTAAAGGCAATTCAGAATAACCCCTGCCTGTACAAAAGTAAGAACCTGAAAATGAAATACTTCAATATGCAACTTTGAATGCATATGCGAATAGAATCAGCCTCATGATTAACAGTCTTTAAACATTTGGGAAGTTCTTGTACTTTAGTTTACACAACTGCTTTCAGTGCAAAAGCTGCCCCATCCCATTTTGACAATTGAAGAAAGCATGTCAAAAAGGACTTTCCCTTGAATCATACAGGCATCACATGCTTTCCTTGTACTGTATATCTGGCAGAGCAGTATCAATTTGTCAGGCTAGTGGAGGTGGGATCCAGAGGGGAAAAACCCCAAATGGGTTTATCAGAATCCTTTGTCAATAAAGAAACTAAAATGGGGGCAACTAAAACGACATCATTTTTAACCAGAACATATGTTAAGTGATTTAAGAACTATTTCATCCGAGACAGCTAATACACATGTAAAGATTTTAGTTTATAAACCTCATCCGGAGGCTGAAAATAATGGTTTATCAAACTCAGAACGCATACGAAAAAAGAGCCCCTGAACTGATATTACTGAATTGATCTGGTATATTTGTTACTACTAGACTTCAAAAAACTCCTCAACTTCTGCATATTGTTGTAATAATTGTTAATACTAAAGACGTTAGTTTACACTCAACTGCACATACATTGAATATTCAGCTATGAGATAAACACATCCTATACACTGTATCTGACAAGGATGAACTGTCTTAATTAACAAGCCTGGAACAGCCCCAGGCTTTTCTGTCTATAACGTTGTCAGCACAGACTGAACAGAGCATTTCAGTTTTAACCTGGTGCCTTAGTTACAAGTATACAGTTATCAAATTTAACACAAATGAATTGCCTTGTGTCGGGACATTCTAATGCTTTATACTGTTGAATTAAGTTTTTTCTGTATGCCATGTTTATGTTTATGGCATACAGAAGCAAACAATCCCCAGATTAAAAAAAAAAAAATTTGAAGCCTTAGTTTCTTTATTTGTGCACAGAACTACCTCCCAGAGTTCAGACTAAAGTCCCTTCTAAGGTGCCTACGCCTCCATATTGATACTGACTGTTCGCAAGAAGAAATTGTAAGTATCTATAGTTTCAATCATTTAATTCTTTCGGGCAGAACAAAACCTGTAAGGAAGAAAGAGAGGAGTGTTTCAAAATATACAAAATGAGGTGCATGTAATGTCTAGACAAACAGGAACCACACAAATTGAAACACTAAGATCTCATCATAAGCTTTTTTGTAATGTTAGCTAGAAAGTTTCAGGGAGTCAACTTTACATACTGTCCTACGGTTACTTAATTTCCCTGTTACCGACACATGTAAAACTGTTTAATCCACAAGCAGAACTTTTTTGGCAGATAGATGAATCAGGCTGCTTGATCACAAGCTGTGTAACTAAAGGGAAGATCTCTTGTACTGAAGAAGTTGCGTCCATTTAAATTGGTTTAAAGCCTGCAGAGTCTCAAACAATGAGGATCCAGTTTTAATACACTGAGTTAAATTAAGAGCACTGGAATTTCTAATTTAGTTAAATCCAATGATAGCTGAAGCACAGGACTTCAGCAAAACTGAACTTCACCAAAAATTTCAGGTAAGAGCAAAGACAAAGTTCAAAAGTTTTTAAATATGTAATTTTATATTTATTCCTAGATACATGTATGGCATATATTACAGCATCAGTTCCTAAAAAGTTCTTCCAGGAAAGACTCAAAACAGATATACTTGTCATGATGACACAGCCCTAGAAAAATCACCTACTGGAAAACAGCAGAGCATTTCCTACTCATCTCAGTAACTCCTAGTAGGTATGTTCTTAATATGGCCACACTATTACTAGTACTAGCTTCTTAATCACTGAAGAGATGAGTTACAAATGCCTTACACCAATCCACTCCTTTAACGCAAATGGTGAGACTAAACTATCAACATACATGAACGATGCTCGTGCAAGAAGTTAAGCCAGTTTCCGTACTGGAGAAAGTCTGATGCCTCAGAGTAAATTGCTAGAAATATCAGAGCCAGCTGAGATCCTGATAATCATAAAAACATTTAGGATCACTTAAACCTGAGATCCTGCACTCATTTTCTGCCGAACGCTCTTCTAATATTACCATCCACTATAGCCCTGAGTATCCTTGATTTCCGGAGTCACCCAACTGCTCTGAATCTCATCGGTTTTTTCTTCCATTATCCTGCAGCGACACTAAGAAGTTATTCAAGCCAGAGTAGTGATATTTAAAGTACAGCAAGCTCAAAACTCAATTTAATATTCTTCTACGCTTGTTTGCTCTTTGTGTCAGGCAAAACAAGTTTACATTCCAAGCACCCCTGCCTAAGCTTACAAATCTCCAGCACCGAAATCCATCTGGCGGGGCTTGTGCGCGGTCGCGCACCCTCAGCGCCAGCCCCAGGTTCCCCC